AGAAGGAGGAAGGGGAAGAGGATAGAAGAGTAGGAAGATGAGGATGAGGATTAAGAGGGCAGGAACCACGGAGGATGAGAGTAAGAGGAAGAGAAGAAAGGAAGAGGATGGAGGAGAAGTAAAGAGGAAGAGAAGGAAGAGGAGGCAGGCATAACACGTAACTGAGGATGATTGTGAAGTGAGCCGGGTGACAACCAGTGACATTGAACAGTGGTCGCATCTTCTTCTTCTCTGTGGAAGAGAAAGGGCAGAAGACAGGGAAGGGAGGAAGGAGAGGAGAGGGGGAAGAATGAAAACATGGAAGGAGGGAGGGGTTGGGTGAGTAGAGAAGAGAGAGATGAGAGAGAGAGAAAGAGAGATGAGATGAGAGAGAAGAAGAGAGGAGAGAAGGAGAGAGAGGAGAAGAGAGAGAGAGAGAAGAGAGAGAGAGAGAGAGAGAGGAGAGAGCACAGAGAAGAGAGAAGAGAGAGAGAGAAGAGAGAGAGAGAGAGAGAGAGAGAGAGAGAGAGAGAGAGAGAGAGGAGAGAGAGAGAGCAGAGAGGAGAGAAAGAGAGAGAGAGAGAGAGGAGAGAGAGAATAGAGATAGAGATAGAGATAGAGATGGAGATAGAGATAGAGATAGAGAGAGACACGAAAAAAGAAAGAAAGAAAGAGTAGAAGACAAGCGAAGAGAGCAGCCAGCCCGGCATGCGCCCCGCGGTACTCTCCACTGTGGCGGTCGGCGAGGAAGGCGCTCCCTCCAATTGCAAACCCGCGCCCCCGCCCACGGGTCGCGGCACCAAAATTTCATTGGCTCATGGCGAAGGCAAAGGACCTCCCGCGTCCACCCTCCCCTCCCCTGCCGCCTCTTCCCTACCCCTGGCCTCCTCCCCTCTCTCCTCCCTTTCCTTTCTCTCCCTCCACCATTTTCCTTTTCATTCTCTCTCTCCTCTCGCGCTTCCTCTCCTTTCCTTTCTTCTCTCGTTTTCCGAACCCTCTCTCCCATCTTTCTTTCCCCGTCTCCAATCTCCTCCGTCTCCTTCCTCCTCCCCTCTCTCCCCTCTCCCCCTTCCCTTCCTCCCTTCCTACCCTGCCTTCTCCATATCTCCACTCCCCTCTGCCGCCACCTCCTCCCCTCTTCTCCTCTCCCTCCCCCATCTCCCTCACCCTCTCCCTGTCCCCGGTCCCCTCCTCCCTTATCTCTCTTCCTCCTCCCCTCTCACCCCTCTCCCCTTCTCTCTTCCTCCCTCTCCTCCTCCCCCTCTCTCCTGGCCCTCCTCCTCCTAGCCACACGCCCATGCCGCCCACGCCACACTGCTGCCATTAACCGGCGGCAAACGACGACGGGAAGACAACGTATACATAAACACGTACGTACAACATTCATTCATTCATACAGATACATACAACACTACATATTTACGTAAAGTACATACATACATACACATACACACAGCAACATACACACATCACAAACACACACACACACACACACAACACACACACACACACACACACAATGACACAAACACACATACAAACAATAACACAGAAGTACATCAACATACATACACACACAGACATATTTTTACGTAAGTACATCATTCACACATACACACAACAACAAACAAATACACACAAGTACATTACACACACACACACATCATACACAAACACCACACACCACGCACCACACACACACACACATTGACACAGGGGTGAGGAGGGGGCAGGAGGTCGGAACACGAGCAAGCACACAACGCAACGACACACCAGGCAACCCGAGCCATTCTGCACCAGGGTTTAAGAATGCGTGCGTGAAGAGGGGATAGGATAATTGAGTGGGGGTGGGGGCACGGCTAAATGGTATGGGGGGGGGGAGGTCTGCTGAGCTTAAACAGAATGGAATGTGGAAAGGGCGAACTGGAGTTGGGCGCCGGCTCGAGGAGAGGCGTTGGTTGTGTTGCGAGAGGGGCGCAGGCAAGGGAGAGGGAGAGTGAAGGAGTAGGGTAGGAAAGGGAGGAGGCAATAAGAAGGTAGAGAAGGGAGAGTGAGAGAAGAGAATGAGAAGGAGAAGAGGGGAAAGGAAGAGGAAGGAAAGACAGAAAGAGGAAGACGGAGGAAAAGGACGAGACGGAGGAGGAGAAGAGACCGAAGGAAAACGAGGAAGACAAGCGAAGGAAGAGAAGAGAAAAGGTGGAAAGGAGCAAGCGAAGGAGGGGGGAGAGGGGAGCAGAGCAGCGGAGGATAATGAAAGAAGGAGAGGAAGGAGGAGGGAGAGGAAGGATGAAGATGGCGGAAGAGAACGAAGGTGGAAAATAAGGAACGGGAATGATGGAGGCAAGACGACGAAAGAGAGAGAGAGGAAAGGAAAGACGGAGAAGGAGCAAAGTCGAAGAATGGAGAAGAGATAGCGGAGGATAATGATAATGAAACTGAGGAAGGAGATGGGGATGGACAAGGGAGAAAGACGAAAAGATCGAGAATGACAGACGAAAGAAGACGAACAAGGGAGAGAGTAAAGGAAAGACAGAAAAAGAGCAAAGACGGAGGAGAAGAGGAAAAAGTAAGAGGAGTCGTAGCGAGGGAATAATGGAAAAAAACACACAACAAAAACAAACAACAGCAACATATCATCATCATGTAAACAACAAACAGACAACAACAACAGACATCAACACAACAGCAACAACACATCAATCACCATCATCATCATCATCAACAAACATCAACAACATCATCATCATCAACAAAACATCATCAATCATCATCAACCAACAAATCAACAATCAACATCATCATCATTCAACACCACATCAAAACATCAACATCATCATCATCAACCATCATCATCATCATCATAACAAACACAAATCAACATCATCATCAACAACAACATCAACAACACATCATCATCATCAACAACAACAACATCAACAACAACAATCATCAACATCAACAACGACATCAACAACAACATCAACATCAATCATCAAATCATTCATCATCATCATCATCAACAACATCAACAACAACAACAAACAACAAACATCAACAACAACGGCCGCAGTGAAGGCAGGCAAGAGGGGCCCCGCAGTGCTGGTTCTAAAAGCTCACATTTAGGGAAAGAAAGGTTGTTGTGGGGAGAAGGAGGGGAAGAAGGAGGGAGAAGGAAGAGGGAAGGAAGGGAAGGGAAAGGGAAGAAAAGATATATAGGGGAAGGAGGAGAGAAAGGAGGAAAAGGGAAGTGGGAAGGGAAAGGGGGGAAGGAGAAAAGGGAGGAAGGAGGGGGGAAAGGAGGAAAGGGAGGAAGGTAAGGAGGGAGGGAGAGAGAGAAAGAAAAAACGAGGAAAAAGAGAAGGCAAACAATAGAACAAACAAGGAAGGAAGAAAGAAAAAGAACGACTGAGAGAGAACGACAAAGAAAGAAAGAGAAACAGAGGAGAGCAAACAAACAAGCAAAAAAAGAAAGAAAGAAGAGAAAGAAAAGAAAAAAGAAAGAAAAGAAAGAAGAAGAAAGAAAAAAAAAAACGAGACCCTCAAGCGACAGCGCCACACACACAAGCACACACACACACACAAGCACCACCACACACACACAACACACAACACACACACACACACACACACACACACCACACACACACACACACACACACACACACACACACACAACACACCTCGCCCTCGACACACGCAAACGGCACCCAAGCGCCACCTGGAGGGCCACTCGACGGCTGCCGTAATTAAAACCATTCACCTGCTCGCCTCGATCCTCATGGGGGGGGGGGAGGGGGGGAGGGAAGGAGGGAAGGGGGAGAAAGGGAAGAGAGGGGAAGGGGAGAGAGGGATAGGAGACAGGGGAGGGGAGAGGGGGGGGAGGGGAGGAGAGGGCGGAAGAATGGGGGAGAGGGGAAGGGGGTAAGGAGGGAAATGGGGAAGGGGAAATAGGGGAGAGAAAGAGAAGGAGTACGGTGATGGCGGAGAGAGGAAGGAGTAAGGGGAAGGCGAAAAGGGAGAGGGGAAGGAGTAAGGGGACGAGGGAGAGAAGAAGAAAAAGAAAAGGAACAAGAGAATCCGAGAGCGAAGAAAAAAAAAAACGAAAAAAAAGAGAGCAAGAAAAACAACAAGAATAAGAGAGGAGAGAAGTAACGGCAGACGATGACGGAGATGGGGAGGGAGAGGGAGAGGAGGGGAAGGGGAAGGGGGAGGGAGACGGGAGATTTTGCAAAGTGCCGCCCTTATCAGCAGCTTCACCTGTCACCTGCCGCGCCTGTTGCCCGCGCCTCGCCTACTACACGGAGAAATGTGATATTGACTGTATATATATTAAGTGTTTGCATGTATCTCATATTCATATTCCTATTCGTGTGTGTGTGTGTGTGTGTGTGTGTGTGTGTGTGTGTGTGTGTGTGTGTGTGTGTGTGTGTGTGTGTGTGTGTGTGTGTGTGTGTGTGTGTGTGTGCTGTGTGCGCGCGCGCGCGCGTGTGTGAGTGTATGCAAATATGTTTGGATGTATGTGTATGTATATATGTGCAAGTATGCATGCATGTATGCATGTGTATAATTGTGTTTGCATATATGTGTATATATGTATGTGTTTATGTATGCATGTATGTGTTTGGATGTATGTGTATGCATGTATGTGTATGTATGTGTGTGTATATATGTGTAAGTATGTATGTGTTTGGTTGTGTATGTGTATGTATATGTTTATAAATGTATAGTACGTATTTGTATATGTTATTAAATCTATATGTATATATACATCTATATATACATGTTTATGTATTTATAT